TCCTCAGAGCTCACTTGGTGAAAGGAGTCCCTAGAGAACTCATCACCCGCTCAGGCAAAGCCAGCAAGGTTAGCCTAAAGAACCAACAGCATAGTATGAACTAAACCTACTGATTTTGCCCCAGGTAGATTAGAGAGAGCTCACATAACCTCTTCGGTGCGACCTTCGGAGTGGTAACCTCAAACTAAACAGGCAAGGCTCAGCACCTTCAATATCATTTAGCACCGTTCTAAGCACAGCATTACTCTGCCTTGGGACGCTTTTAATGTGGCAGGAGCTTCCTGAGGTTTCATCCTTAATGGCAGAAGGGGAAGGGTCACTGGTATTACTGATAGTCCTATAAAACCCAACTGTGTGTGAATTCCCTGCTTTGAATGGAGTGTGCAGTCATCTTCTAAGATAAAAAAGAGAAAAGAGTAAAAATCCTACAATAATGCTAAAAGCAAAATTTGAGACTATAAAGAAAGCTAGAACCCCTTCTGCTTTACAAAGGAAGAGCCATGCAGGCAAAAAGGACAGAAATAGAATTTTAAGGCACAAAAACTGACTGTAGCTGAGGAACCGCTGCTGTGCCCACCCCGCAGTCGATTTCTGTTCCATCTTCCTTCACAATTTCACTTTAAGTTTTTTCCATGTTACCACATGGTGTGCAGACAGCTAACACAGAGACAATCCCAGTGTGTGAAACCTCTCCCTAGATAAAAAGCCAATGTCTTTCCTGTATCTAGAGCACTCCTTTACACAGAAATATGTAGGGACAAAGTTGTAACACTGAAAAAATTATGCAATACACAAAAAGTAGATCAAGCAAGCCACAGTGATCCTAAGATATGACATTTTTAGAACAGTATGAATGATACAAATGGTGTTTACATAATGATATTGTTTTTCTTTAACATATAACAAAACACATTCCTGCGTGCACAAACAGCAACGAAAAAAATGGACCTACACATCAAAAATAAAAGGCTATCAAGTATGACACATTGCCGTTACAATGAATAGTGTTATAGTGCCTTCTCTGAATCTGAAATACTTCTTGTACCACTCAATATCCCATACAGCACAACCTTCAGTATGCAGAGGAGCTCTGTGCCCATCCTATACTATGTTCTATATATGTTCTGCTAGTACTGCTTTAATAGAGGATTGCTTGAGGCAGCTCGTTTCACTGTTTGTAATGTTTAAACAGCAGGCTAGCCATGACACATTAAGGGCACATTAACTTCCCCCTGAACATGTGCCCAGTATCACCATTTTCTTCTCTAGGTAAGTTTGAAAGAGTTCTTCAATTGAGATATTACAGTCTCCTTAGGGATTTACGTTTTTCTCTCTGGTAGAAAACTCATACATCCCCATGCTAAAATAGAAGTAGCACCAGGCCGATTCACATTCTAGTTTTACATTGTACGTTTTCACAGACCAAATCCTGTTCAAACAGGCAACATAGTGCCCACCATCTCAGTCTGACATTTCATCCCTTCTGCACACTTGTATGAGCTGGGACATCACTGCAAACATATAGGAATTGACTGACCTCTCCCATTCCTTCTGCCTTCCAAATCAGAAGATGGAAGTTTATGTTTTTCTAAAACATTTTCCATAACTAATTATTAATGCCATTATTTTGAAGACACTGGATGGTTTTTGTTTGCATGATGGTTGAAATACCACTGAAAAGAAGTGCTGTGTACTATATATAGCAGGAAAAGGCAAAAATAACCCTCCAATCCACACCAGTTCAACTAGAACTTTAAAAAGCTTCACCTCAAATCTTCAGTACAACTGTGACTACAGCACAGCTACAAAGCAGTATCAAACACCACCTCTTCAATAGCACTAGACAGCAACACCTCATTTTCATCACACCTTTTTTAAACAAACACAGCTATATGTTCAATGGAGGATGTGCTTAACACAGGAAGCATACCTCACAAAGTGGTTTCTGACTTGTGAAACTCCAAGAAAAAAATGAAACTCTAAGAAAAAATGTCAAACTGTTAACAGAATAAAGTTTTGTGTATGTGTGTGTGCAAAAAACTTAGATTTCGGAATGTCTCCTCTCCCGAAACACACACACACTTACACTTTAAAAACATTTCTGTTTTATAACGACATTTATAATACTACTAAAGGTAGAAGTTCAGAATCCCCAGACAAATTACAAGCAGAAACATGACGACCACTCTCCGCCCTGTCCCCGCCCCGAAATACAGGCTTATAGCATGTAAAAGTTGAGAATAACTGGTGTATTTTTTTCCTAACCAAGACGTATAGGTCATGCCAGGGGGAGCAATAAATCACAAGTGGATATCTTAGAAAGATGATGCTCTTGTGGTTGCATGAAATATTTTTCATAAGATACAAATTGCACTACTTTGCAGTAATAAAATCACCGTAATTCCATCAAGAAGTAGGTTTATAGCACTGTGACCGTGTAAGTACTGTATGAAAGAACATTGCTTCGTTTTTTAATTTGGTTTATGCTAATTTTCCTTGATTGGCTTTCTCCTTGTAACATCTGCAATGGGGACATAATTTGGCATAAGAAAAAAAGAAAAATTCACAAATACCACTGAGTGTGATAAAACTTACGTTACAGTCGCACAGATAGACACTAAATGCAATCAAATAGTGCCTACATGCAGTTCCTCAAAATACCTTTTTTAACAAAAAAGGAGCTACAAAAAAAAAAAAGGACCTACCAAAGCCATGTCTGCAGTGTATCAAGATTTAAAGAAATGTGATCAGCATTGCTAGGTCTCAACTTGGACAAGAACAAATTCTCAGTGCTTCTGCACCCTCGCTGTCGAGCCCCGGCCCTTGGAGACCCCCAGCAGCACAGGGCAGTACTTAGCTGACTGTCCCAGTAGCTGGCTGCAACAGCGACCGCACTGAAAGGGACAAAGCGCCAGCCAGCCGCGCTGCGAG